CATCTAATGATAATCCTCATTTTGAGAATATCTCATTACAATCTTAGAATGTACGGGATCACTTCACCTTGCGAGTTCTTCGCGAGTGCGTTGGTCCATCAAGCATAATTATTAAGTACGTTCCTTGGGATGGGCTCATGATGACATTTTCATGGTCAAAAGCTTGTTATGTCTGAGTTTTTGATTAGTTTGTCAGCGTTTTTAGCAGTAAACAAATACAGACTACAAGGCAAGCCTTATAGAACTGATCCCAGCGCCCAACAAAATTCAACTCGACTAAAAAGGCTAATCTGGAAATCATGGAAGTTTTGGAAGCCCTTAAATTTTTTACCGTGCACTTCTGTTATACAGCTGTGCCAATTGAGGCCATCAAGGATTACCATATACAAGGGTACTGCCCGGTTTTCTTCACCAGCCAACAGCCAGGCTAAGTCACAAATGAAAGTGAGCGAGTCCGTCAGTCAGTCACTTTATCAGTCAGGTACAAATATGACTAAAGGCACACCGCTCTGTGAGCAGCAACAATAATTACCACAGCTAGATTTCAAGCAGGTAAAATCGATGTCACGAAAGTGGCATTTAGTGATAGCCATATATTGATGTCGTGACTGCAAGTTTTTATCGGCTTAATTGGGACCAGTAGGAACCATGCCTCCTAAAATTATATCGATTTAAGTGCCTGCGACTTGTCATTGTACTCTTTTATATCAAAAGAGTGGGAGTTCATGCACTCCATTCGACTGAAAGTATAGGGATCACTAGCCTTAGCTAATATTCAGTCAAATTGATAGAGTTTTCACTCGCGGCTCCACCGGGTTTATTCGTTTTGGTTGACCAGCTGATCCCGACTAACGGTCTGGTCCCTAGTTTCAATGGTAGTGCTTATACACAGAATTTAACCAGCATTCTAAGTGAAGCCAACGCCTAACACAGATGATATGCTTTTGACAAACATTCGTACTTCTCAGATAACTTGAAATTCAAATCACACCCGCGAGTTGTCCTTGTTGACCAAGATTTCCGTGTGCACTCAAATTTCAATTTTTAAGTGAATTGGCAATGGCAGAGAACATTGTGGAAACGAAATCTTAAAGGAAACAAAATTCGTGCACCGGGTTTCAGCCAATGTAACGCTGGAACTTCGGCGCTCAGGTTAGATAAACCACTTATTGTCTATTGTGGCAGACTTTTGACCTGGGCATTGTATACATAGGGGATGTTTTCTATTGGTGAAAATACCTTGAGGTGTTTGAAACAACACTAGTAGAGTAAAGCGTTAGTTTCTGTGCCATAGGTGGTGACCGTTTATACACCATGTAGCTCATTATGTCTAAAATTAGCATGTAACCTGGAAAGTCGGTGCATTATTATCATATATTGAGGTGCGTTTTGATGGACTCGCTACATTAATTATACCTGTTAATGGTACCTTTCGGATACATTTTGATGGAGCAATTTTGCGCACAAGGCTATGAGAATGTCTCCGTAATATGAACAAATATATCAATAGTATAGGTTTAATTTAATCCATATTACATGGAGCAAAGACATTGTACTATATCGGCATTTGAACTTTACATGGCTGTAAAACTCAGCCAGCTAACTCCGGTACGGAGTTATGATGGTCGCCGGCTATAATCTCACCACAGGCAATTTCTTCGCTCAACCGTTTGATGAATCTTGAACTATTTGAAGATTTAAAAGCCTTTAACACGGCCAATGTGAGCAGATTGACTCCGTGCAGGAAGCCAGAATGAATAGAAAGATTGTTCGATGCTTACCTGTTTTATTATAAGGTCTTTGGTTTCGTTTCGATACTCGTAGTTAACAAAGAGAACCCGTTCGAATATTTTCACCACCCAAGTGCGAGTGCACAATATACTCTGGCCGTGTTGCCAAAAGTCTTGCATGAAATCGATCTAATCGATCCTTGGCAGAGCTTAAAAATGCGACGCCGATGGCAGATATGGAACATCATACTTTTGGTAAATGTTCTGGGGACAGACAGACTGACCAACCGACCACCAAGTGACATATAGAAGCTTCTGCCCGAGCTTAAAAAGTGGACCTCTTAAGTAAAAGTGGACTTCTTTTGGTATTAAAAAGAGGACGGTAAATGTCGTAAGTGCTAGAAATCCAAACATGCGTACGAGACATAGACCCGAGCCATCCACATCATTTCAGTACACATCTTCAGCCTTAATCGCATGGTATTGCATTTGACTTCAGCATCACATCACACGCTGCATTTAACATCATTTCGTGATAGCACACCTGACTGAGAATCGACCTGCATGGAGCGCAGCACGGCCAAATTTGCCTGAACTACTCTTCTGTCACTAAAGCGTCATTTTACTATCATACTTTCACTCAATCTAGAATATAGGATACCTTACAATTTTTTTCACGTAGAGGGGAAACCTTTTTTTGCTGATCCAGATGGTACAGGATCCTCTTTGTACGTATCTCACTGACTGACTATCTGTTACTTGAGAATTGGGCAGAGCTATTGTGAAGGATTACCCCGTAACGCCAATTACCGAATGAGCTAAATCCTGCCTATTGTGTATAGACCATTTTATAGAGTTCGCGCGCTCTCGAGCCAGGTTTATATGTCTAGTCCTTGTGCTTTGTGCATTAGCTTTTTTATACTGATGTGACGGGTTTCTATGCTCTTATGTTGCCATCTCGCCACGAAGGGTGAACCGTCTCTTTAAAAGAATAGTTTCATTCAGTAGCTTGTTAATTAGTTATCAGACTTTAATTTGAGAATGAACGTTAGGTATATGCGCTAAAAGTGATTCATATTAATTTTGACTTATTTTCAATGAATCGATTTCAATCAAGGAAGCACTAATTGCGTGGATGCCTTCGCTTGTTTGGCGTATTGAATATAATATATTTCATAAGTAAAACGAAGTCACTCGATTTATTTCAAACCAGGCACATTTGAAAGTCGAAGGTATACCTTGTTGGTATTAAATGTCACAATTTAAACATGATCAAATGTCTACTCGTTTAAAGGGTAAACTCTATACCAAGCAAAAGTAGCCTATATTTCAAGAGTGTATTTTTAATTTAAATGTACCTCAACCAATTACTGTTGTTCACTTCTGGGGTCCTATTTACATTTTCCACTATTATAAGCTTTTCAGAATTCAAAATGAAATTCCAAATCGTTGCAAATTTTTATAAAAGATAAATCTGACAAAAAATTGCGCCTTTGACATGTTTTGAAAGTGGCATAAGGGGCCTGACATATTTTCAAAACAAATAATGGTGAGCACGAAATACAAAATTAGAAAAACAATGACACAAATTGATAAAATGTTTCCAAACATAACAGTCAGTGTTCATTCATGTTAAAGCCCTAAGCTTCCAGACAAGTTGCAGCGTGATCTATTACAGACAACGCAGATTCATCAAAATGATAATGGTTTCTATTTACTTCGTTGATTGGATTCCCAATAAAGTCGTTACGTGGTCGTCTTGTGCGTCAGGTCTTTAATGATGTTGGAAACATGAACCATTCATCTCGATGGTATTTTATTTGCTACTCAATCTTGCCAGAAGTCAGCAAGGCTGATTGTCGGTAGGAGAAATCGTGGTCCCGTGATTATCCACTGAACGTTTTAAAGGGAATATACATCATTTGCTTTTGCTGTAATTTTCAGAAATGGATGGAATTGGGGGGTTGGAAATATATAGCAAATATAGTTACACTTACTTTTTTGAGGTTTTGGGTTCGAAAATGCTATAAAAACCAAGAAAAACAATCATTTTCATGTAGTCTGGTTCCCTGACTCAATTTAAGAAGAAACAGAGCAGTTTACATATATTGGGGAATTGTAAGGTCAGGGAACCAGTCTAGCTGGCTTGTACCCGTTCATAGGTGTGTAATCAATTGCAAACAAGTGCGATGGTCAACTGGGGCCAGTATTTGAAAAAAAAGCCAGTTTTTTCCAACGCTGATCGGCCGATCAGCGTTGGAAATTGATACAAAAATACCACTTTTCTTGAAAATGACAGTATACCAGGTGCCATGATTTTACAGGATGCTTTACACTGTCATTCACTAACAGTCCAGCAAGGTATTTCAAAATGATTTGGTAGTTTTATTTTTTGATGTTTGCAAATGTTGTATTTTCCCTTTAATTGCTTTTTGGCTATGCAAAATAGGACCTACTAAGGCAATGGTTTGAAAATGAAGGGCGGTATCATTGTTTCGTAATGTCAGGCGGAGGAGGGATGTGTGTTTATGATCGGTTCCTTTAAATTATAATTCGGTGTAACTTTTGCATGTTAAAGTTTTTACCTCAATAGAAGTAAATCTTACATTAAGGCAAACATCTGTATGTTTTCAAAGAGTGAAACTATGGGGATGGGACTAGACAATTTACAGGGAAATCACACTAATGTTTGATTGAAACACGTTGAAAAAGAATCACTCCCATAGATACTCGAATAAATGAATTTTTAACAATCTTTTAGTTTGTATAGTTTCGTTCCGATGGAGTGATTTTCAATCGAACGGGGTGAATTGTTACCCAAACAGGGTAACCTTCGAACAGGGTAAATTCTCACTCGAACAGGATGAGTCTTCACCCGAACAGGGTTAATTTTCACTCGGCCGATGGGTGAATCTCCACTCGAACAGGGTTAATGTTCACTCAAACAGGGTAAATTTTCATTCGAATAGGGTACATTTCACTCGAACAGGGTAACTTTTTGCTCGAACAGGGAATTTTCTCTCGAACAGGATGAGTCTTTACCCGAACAGGGTTAATTTTCACTCGGCCGATGGGTGAATCTCCATTCGAACCCTGTGAATTTTTACGCAAACAGGACGACTCTTCACTCGAACAGGGTACATTTTTACTCGGCCCCGGGTGAATTTTCGTTACTTCAGCATTTTAACAGACGCTATGGGCGCTGTTGGTATATTCCACAAGTGGGATTTTACAAAAATGGTTTGAACTTTAGTGTGAATGGATACGTACCTATAGCAAACTGCAGAGTTACTGGAATCTCGTCTACCAATTTTCGGCTGATCGTTTGCCAAAGATACCCCCGCTCTGAAAGACGTGGGGGACGCCTCCCTTGCGTCTCTGCCGGCCGAACTCGCTCTCCTCCGCTGACCGCTTCACGGTCCATCTCGGAGGTGTCTGTCCCCTGCCATCCTCCCGCTTCCCGAAGAGACCCGACTGCTGATTGGCCCAGAGTTGCCGCTTCTCTGGGCTCATCCAATGGCTGCCGCGCTTACCATACAATCCAGTTTTTGTGCCTGGTAGCCAGGCTCTCTTGCTAGCGGACGAGTATTTGGACTGTAGGCTGTGTTTGAGGGCGGCCAAACCGGCGTGCAGCTGTTGGTCATTCCAGTTCGGAATGTCTCCATCCTTGTCTCCATCTACCAATGCTGTTTCGTCGTCATTGGCCTCCCCTTGAGGTTGGTACTCCGCTAACCCTTCTAGGCCCGGTTTCGTCTCATCCCCGCTACTGAAATACACGTGAGCCCGGCTTGATGAAACTCCAAGTACCAAAAAACATACGATGAAGAGCATTCTTGTCAACTGTCCATTCGATGCCATTATTCTTGCGTTTTACAAAATTTGCGCTCGACTAAAACTTGGAAACCGACTTGTGGTAAATTTACCGCTAACTTCGCCCTCCCGCTGGTTATATACACTTTTTACGCGTGGGTTTATTGGCCGCACTCGACGTCATCACCAAAAGCAACGGCACAGATATAAGCTCCGCCCATGAGAAGTATCATCCAATGGGATGATGAGTCTTTGCTACCGCGTTGTGACTTTGAGTGACGTCTTTGAGCGTGGTTTGCCATTGGCGGACGGTGATCCCTGCGCGTGTATGCACACTGATTTTGATTCCCAATTCACCACCTACGACCTTGTTATACGATTCACGCCATCAATACATTGGTGTCTTTCTCTGTTGCATTACGTGTGAAACAGTTCCGGGTTTTATCGTTGCTTACATGACTAGAATGATTACGCAATGTTTGCCGTCATTATTTTAAAGACTACGTATTTTTTTGTTCTCTGACTCCTAAATTGCGTAAACTTTATTGATGATTACAAATCTTCTTGGAATTCTGCTTTAGTGGCTTTCTTGACAAAAGTCATCGTTTTCTCCACAAAATACATTTTCTTTGCGTGAAAAATGTTTGTTTTTATAAAAAAAAGAGGTATACTTTCATTTCATTATTTTTCGTCGGTAACTGCTGATTTTAAGTATTGCGTCAGTCCGTCAGAAGAAAACGTACCCTTCTTTCAGCTTATCCTAGCCAACTTAGCTCTCAGACTGTTTTTGTTTGGTTCACTCAGGGTTTTTTAATTATCGAACAAATTATATTTCTACAGTGTGAGTTAGAAGGATCTCGACCCAAATTAAAGACAATATTAACAAATATTTAGCATTTATCGAAACAAGTGCAAATGAGATATTTGTTATAGGCTGGTAGTTTGGAAATATTTGGTGAAAGTTTCATGTATACCCTGTCTAAATTCCAAAGAGTGAAAATTCACTACATTCGCGCGAACATTCACTCCAACAGTCGGAAACTAGGGACAAGACGTATTAGAGTGAAATGTCTTCAATCGTTAAGATCGAGTTTTCACTCGAGCTTCGACTGAAGTGGTTCTTTTTTCAGACTATTTCAATCAAAAATGAGAGTGATTTTCACTCTAAAACGTCTAGTCCCTTATTTCACTCTTTGGTATTTAGAGAGTCCATTGTACCATTTTGAAGAAAAGCGCTACCAAAGAACACGCACTAAAAAAACACTCTGACCACGTTGCATGGTTCAACAAATTGATTGAAATCGCCTACTGATGTGATGCAGTGTAATAACAAAATAAAAACCCAGGCATGGGAATGACTCACAACAGGCAAAACCAATTTCGTGTTCAGACTACAAAATGAGCCACTTCAATGAAAATGGCATAACACCTCACCACAGTCACTAATTTGAAACATTCAAAATTCCTGAAGCAGACAAGGTAATAACCATTCACATGAAACATTCATTTTTTTCCCAATATACTCTATTTGCCACAAAAAAATGGTGAACCTGGGTCCAGTTCACTCTGACTAGCCCTGTAAGTGACCACAATAAACAATCGACTTTACAGAGGAATTTCAAATTGGAACTATAACCGAAGGCCCGAGTGTTGCCTTTCGTTGAGAGCATCAACAAAAATCATGTCATACAACGGCTTAGCATTACTAGTGATTTCAGTTCAGCGACGGCGTATTCACGAAAGACACAAGGGACACTATTTCAGACCTTTATTGTCTTTTGTCTTAAATTGTAAACAGTGGGTTGGGCAGGGCACACTATCCATAAGTGCCTATTACAGTATTTAAAACCGGTGTCATAATTTGTATGAGGTTTGGACTGATACTATAATTATGTGGTCTCCTTTTCCTTATTTGGATTTTAATCGTCACACAACTTGTCGCTTGCCTGATTATCTTCACTTAGGCATGCGCAATACAACCAAGGAGTAAGTATGCCATGGAGTCAAAACTTTCATACCACACTGAATCACATACATGCATCTCCCACTCTGTGTTGTAGAGAGATCTACAGTGGATAGGCAGTTTTTCTTCATTTTAAATATGTCCATAAAAAAAAACTCGCCTTTAAGACAAAAAAGGAGACTGAATTTAAGAATTGCCGTTCATCAACTTTCAATTTAAATTAGGGTAATTGTATGAGTGCGTGTGGGTGCCTTTTTATGATTTAAATCGAGGACACACATGTGAAGCATCATCGAGTAATTAAAGCTATAGTCCATCATTTGCAGCCATCCGAAAAGTAACTGGCGTAATTATTGTTGAAAAACAAACTTGGTTGAAAGATAGTAAGGGAACTAAACTCCCTGTGAAATTATTCTTTCTGGGAAGCTGTCATTTTGAAGTAATCAACGAAAGAAGGCGTAGGAAAATTTAAATTAGTAGTTCGCTTTGTTATTCGGCGAAGCGCGCGCAAACATTGTCACGACGCACACACGCGCGCGGTTGCTATAATTCGTCGGATCAGTGCGCGACGTCACGTATCCGCTCCGTTCACAAGCACCCCCTCACCGGCAAAGGAAGTACAGTTGGGGGTGACCGACCGACGCCATCTTGCCTGACTGCAATTCATTTGCCGCGAAGCGCGGCCACTGCGTGTAAATAGAACAAATCCCCTGGTGTACGTGCGTCACACACAAGGAACGGTTCGCGTCAACCAGCGAACGGGACGCCGTTGTTAGGTAAAAGGGCGCCCTCTTTTGGTAGCGCACGGAGCTCATACCTGCAATTCAAAACAATTCAAAACATGATATAAGTTTTGATTTGAAATTGAGATCCTAGAATGCTGTTTTTCTCGGAATATACAGCTGAAGCTGAGCTGAAACTTCATCAGGTTAATTGTTCAGTTTCCTTCATTAGATTTTGAACACTTTTGTTGCTTCAAACGAACAAAATGCACAAATTACAAATGATGGACTATATCTTTAAGGACAGGAATCATAGCGAGAACGACTTCGATAAGAAAACGCAAAAAACAAATCTGAGATGTTGCAAAACAGTTAAGCGTGTAAACAAAAGAGCGATGGTGAGGAACAATAGAAAAATCATCGATTTACACCATAAACATCCTAGTGTGTGAGTATGTTTTTACATTCAATATGGGGACGTTGAACAATAGAGGGCAATAGTGTCCACAATCCCCGAAGGTCCACAATTGACGATCGTGTACAAGACATATAAGAGGTTTTCTTAAAAAGTTGGGGTACAAACAAAAGAGGGACAATAGGGGTCCACGATTGAAGGTGTTTATACAATATGTGACCACCCCTTTACACAATTTGTGACCACAGGGAGCCTACCAGGGATTGTGAAGTTTCAAGATGATGACACCATATCAATTCGGCAAGACACCTGTGCTCTTAGTTATTAGCGCGCTGACAAAATGTACGTCACACTAGTTAACCAACAACGGTTGTTTCTTTGCAGAGCGCCCTCTCTTGGAATAGCTATGACTACTCGTGCTACCAGTCTGTAAATTGGTCTCCAGACCTGACAATTCAGACTATTCTGAGAAATCTTAGGTCTGTAGCCATCAATATAATGCGAGCAAACAGGGCAGGATTCTAATCCGTAATTAAAATTTAACACAAACCCAAAAATATAGTGTGGTGAGCGCGAAAAATGCAATCCGAATTTGATAATGTCAACTTTAATGGAACAAAAACAACATACTCGTTGTCCAACAATAGCTCTATAAATACCTCATGTATCGAGCTGAAATAACATCGGGTGTTTTAACACGATATATAACAAGCCTGTTGAATGTCCAGAGAAATTGCCAAACATTACAAACAATATAAGCGAAACAATGTAGTGTGCTTAGGACGAAAAATGCAATTCAAATTGAAGTCGACTTTCATGGAACAAAAACAACACACTCGTTGTCCAACAATAGCTCTATAAATAACTCATGTATCGAAATGAAATTACATCTGGTGATTTAACACGATATATAACACAAGCCTGTTGAATGTCCAGAGAAATTGCCAAACAATAAAAACAAAATAAGCGAAACAATGAAGTGTGCTTGAAATTGAAGTCGACTTTCATGGAACAAAAACAACAAACTCGTTTTCTGGACGAAAACTCATAAAGCACAGGATGTGTTGAATTGAAATTTCCTCTAGTGATTGATCGTAACATATTATAGAAATCTGTTAAATATAGAGAAAAAAGTCATAAAATGCAAATAATATAACCAAAACAATGCAGTGTGTTAAGCGCGAAAAATACAAGCCGAATTGAAGCCATCTAAAATGTTATTTCAAATGAGGGCGCGCTACACAAACAGTGGTGACAGCTGTAATGACTTTTTGTCAACATGAAGAAAAAACTGCCCAGCTGACGTCAAAATCTAATGAAAACCTGCCTAACAAAACCAACAAGGAAATCTGTCGAGTATTGAGAGTAATTTTCGAATACTACAAATAATATAACCAAACAAATCCAGTGTGTTCAGCGCGAAAAATGCAATTCTAATATGCTTCGTTTGGGCAGATCGTGATCGGCGTTGACAGAAGTCTTTACGGTGGTGACCAGTATTTGTGTAGCGCGCCCTCTTTTGGAAGAAATTGATGTTGATAAAATTACGGAAGTCCCTTACACACTGTAGTTTTTTTTTTATCTTGTTCTTCAACGGTTTCTGTCGAATTTCAGGTTTATTGTGTCGTATATAACGACCAATTAGTGGACGTAATTTGAATTCAATGCAATGTGTTTTTCTTGAGTTATCGTCTCCACAAAGAGTGCTTTTTTGTTCAATTAGAAGTGACTTTTAATTCGGATTGATTTTTTTGCGATTAGTACACTGTTTTTCTTAAATTATATTAAATTTATTCTTCAAGGGTTCTCGTCAATTTTTGACAGTTTTGTGTCCTATATCCCGAGCAATTAGAGAACAAACTTTCAATTCAGTGCAATGTATTTTTCTTGAGTTATCGTCTCCACAAAGTGTGTTTTATTTTTGTTCACTTAAAGTCGACTTCGTTTGGGCTGATCGTGATCTGCGTTGACAGAATTAGTCTTTACGGTTGCAGACCAGTAAGTAAATTCCCAGAGTCCCCA